GACCTCTGATTCTGCTGTTGGCACCCAAATCTCAATTCTCCAATACCCACAAGCTTGTAGAGAAATTCCTGAAGTTAAAATTTGGTCCAAAGAATAAAACTAAAACTCAGAACAGAATTTCCAAGAGTTAAGATGGGGCTCAGATTCAGCAGCTTGGTTTGGGCTCAGCATGCGACAGCACAGTAGAAAGAACAGCATGTGCTTCACCCCACTTTGGATGATCTCAACCACCTTCTAAAGCTCTAAGGAAATTGTCACAGTGATGGATCAAATCAGGGAGCCAAGGGGTAGCTCTCAGACTAAACTCAGCTCACAGCACAGCTTTCTTCCTTCCTTGAAAATGCTTAACATGCCATTAGTCAGCATACGCTCGTGGGCAGACTACACCAACTGGAGAGAGTTTGCTGTGGCAGTGTGGCAGACTAACATAAAGCCTATGAAATCAAATATGGCCATGTTTACACTGTCCCTAGGTCCCAAAGCCACCCAGTTGCCGCAGCACAGTGCCAGGGAGGCAACGAGTGTGCCAGAGCCAGCTGGAGCACCTGGTAATCAGTAGCCGTGAGGAGCAGAGAGCATGGATACGTGGGCAGGCCAGGCACTGGGCTTGGCAACACCAGCGCTGAGCCGAGCTACCTCCCGCAGAGGCGGCCGTGTGCTGCGAGTCAGGCTTGCCAGCATGCCTGGAGAGCTGAGCAGGTCAGATGCTGTATCACATGAAGATTAAGACTTAAGCTAGTGAAATGTTCATCTCTGCTTCCCCTACTTTCTTTTCAACAATATATTTTGTCCTCCTCTGCCTCTGCACCACAGTTATTTTTTCTCCTTTTACTGCCCCTGCCTAAACACAGCACCACAGAGTCACAGAATCACTAAGGCTGGAAAAGACCTCTAAGATCACCCAGTCCAACTGTCAACTCATCACCATCATGCCCACTAAACCATATCCCTGAGTGCTACATCTACATGTTTCTTGAACACCTCCAGGGATGGTGACTCCACCACTTCCCTGGGCAGCCTGTTCCAATGTCTGACCACTCTTTCAGAGAAGAAATTTTTCCTAATAACCAACCTGAACCTCCCCTGGTGTAACTTGCAGCCATTGCCTGGGAGAAAAGACCAATCCCCATCTCCCATATGTTCCTTATTCATCGTCTCACCACAGCTCCTCATCAAGTTATGCACCAAGGTAACATGTCAGGGCTTGTGCAGATCAAGCTCTTCCAAGAAAGCTTTCTAATACAGGAGTTAGAAGGACTTCCTCCCCGTCTCCAAGCATTATGAGGACCATAGCAACCCACATAATCCAGGCTAAAAGAAAGAAATCTACTGCATAGTTATCCTCTTCTGTAGACCTTGACACCAAACACTTGGCTGGAGACAAGGCTGGTTACTGTCCACAGCAATGCTGAGCATCTCTGAATCTCCCCACTGGGCTGTAAAGATTAGTACCTCAGCCTGTAAGATAGAGAGCTGGGAGATCTCTCCTGTGCAGCAAATGTAGAGTTCAACTCTAAACAGATTTTCCATAATTCAAATTACCCTTCTAGCACTTCCACCAGTGACAGGGCAGTGGGCAAAACAAATATTTTGCTAAGCATCTGTCTCCAGTTTTGTAGACTAATTCAGTGTTTTTAAAAAGAAATTTCAGATCATGAAATAAAATAAAATTTTCAGAACTGCTAGCTATACACTATCAGCAAAAGACTGAGAGGTCTTACAACACCATAGACATATCTATATAACTTATTTTTTTTCAATTCAGAATGAAGATTGGAAAAGGAAAGAAAGAAAGCTCTGATGGATTTGTCTCCGGCAGTCAAAGAATACAATTTCACAAGTCAAGCATTCTAGTAACTCTGTTCTTCTTTCACACGAAATGATGAGGGACTGTTACCAGCTGAACAACAATATGTCTCCACATTTTATTATTTTGAATTTTATTTTTGATGGATTTTACCAGAACCAATATTATTCTTGCCAGCTTTAAAGGTGCCAAGGACAGACTGTTGAACAGAGACAGCATTTTCTTTTTCAGACACTATAGTTATAGTTCAGCATCTAATTTCCCCACTTTCCTACACCTTTTCTTCTGTACAGACTTTTGTTTCTGAATAGATATGAACAGGGGCAATTTGGGAATACACTTTCTACAAGTTAATTTCATGGCACTTAGCAGCCAAAGTAACTTAAATGTAAGCTTATTATTATAAGCGGTTTCAAGCACTTGTCATCCTGGTGACTTTTTCTCCATGGCCTGAAACTACATCCTATATAGAACTGGAGGGGGATGTGCAAAGTTTTATTTAAATTTTGCATTTGAACAAGTATCTTTTCTTAACTAAATTAGGACCACTTTATTATCACTTCTCAGCCTTGACATACCATACAAGGGCTTCTCTAAAGCAAGGGAAAAATTACCCTCTAAAACCAGTTGCCCACCTTGTACTTTTTAATAGTCAAGTTTGAATATCAGCTACTATGAGATTACAACATGCCACTTCCCACACATATGTCATGTCTCCAGGCTACATGAAAGGTCACTTGATCCCACCCTAAGATGCTGATAAGATGTTTTCCTACTCCCAATTTCTCTGAAGCACAGCCTGAGACTGAGAGTTTGAGTGAAAACAACTCATGCACATACTCAGAGGCTTCAACAGAAACTCCAACTCCTGCTTTGCTGGCAGCAAAACCACATCCTGGCTATTTCCAGAAAATAGCAAGCAGCACACAAGTTGGAATAGAGCCACTCCTTGGCACAGAGGTATCCTGCTTGGGCCCCTCATGTTCCCTCTGCTACGCATATTCCAGAAAGCCTTCTAGGTTAATGCATTTTTTCTTCTACTAACAGCCTATGACTTTAGCTCTCCAACTGCTCTGTTCAACCCTTGGTTATCCTAGAGCCTGAAAACCTGGGCTATTCTGAGGTTGCCTTAGTATTTTAGTTTTAAGGATCACATTCAAAAGGACTGATGGCCAAAAGGCTGAATCAGCTTTATCAATGCTGAAATGTATCTTAATTTGAGACCTTTCTTGAAAGGTAACTTGAAGTAACAGAACAAGGATATAACAATGAACGTAACAGTTAATTTTAGTTTTAAGAATAAAAATATCTCCTTGTCTGCTTCAGCATTTTAGATACCTTCTAACATTTTAATTGGGGTTAAGGAAATCGCAGTTTAAGTGGCTTCATCTCCTTCAAACTAACACCTAACATCCCCCTCTTTGGGGGAAGGGAGAAAACCCCAGTTTTGTTATCCTCTTTTTTTTGAGAATTTGTTTCCCACTCATATGACAAGTTTTCTGTTTGAACCTGCCTTTCCCTCATCCTTCCTCCTCATTAACTACATACTAAAGCAGACTTTTAATTTGTATGTTCCAGGTTTAGGAACAAATTATTTGTTACAGTCTTATGAAGACACAGAGTGAATCTTTCATATCATACCACAAAAAATATTTTAGCACAGTCCTTGCAGTAGATGCACAACAGCTTTCTCTCAGCAAGCATCATATAAAGTTGAAAAAAGGAACAGAGTTTTAAATTATTCTGGCCCAAAGGCTTGCCTAGTTTTATGGGGGATCCCACCATCTGGTCAGAATCTGTGTGGATGTATTTGCTCTAGCCTTTTAAGGGGGGAGCTGAGGTTAACCAACTGATGAAGTATTTACCTAACCTATACCAGGAGGTTTGTATCCCTGACTAAATCCAGGTGAAGACAGTTATACCAATAGGAAGACTCCCAGTATTCCCCTTCCTCCCCCTCAAAAAAAAAAAAAAAACCCACAAAAAGTAAAAAATCTATATAGCACAAATATCTAAGCTAACTAGGGCTGCTGTCACTCTACTCTGGATATATGCCAGTGTGAGGGCAGGCAAGACAGAGGGTCTTTCATGTTTGGAAGCAGCAGAAAATAAAGATAGACTGTAACCCAGGAACGGTTGTTTGCTGTCCCAAAAGTCAGGCATTAAAGCGCTGACAGATTTCAAAGATACCCAGCTCTTAATAGTCCCTGTATCATTACTACCCAGTAGGCAAGCATTCATGGGTTACAATGGAAAGCTGTTGATTGCTGCTTGTGATCAGCAGCCTGCCACCTCTTTCACAGCATGGCTCCACCTTCTTTTTCCAGAAAGAAGGGAAAGGAAACTGAAACAGCCTTTAGTTTCTGTCAGCTGCACTTTGAAAGGCGGGGGGGAAAAAAAAGGGAAGCTAAGCAAACCCAGCACATCATAATAATAGCATTATATGCACTGTTACTAACAGCTCAGAAAAAGCACATTTGGGGAAAAAGACTGTAAACAATTTGCTTAATATATGTATTAAGCACATGTGCATAAAATACACACACACTACTGTCAGTTTCTATTCTGTGTTATACCTGTGAGCTAGAGCTTATACAAGCTATCTAAGTGTCACTGGAAAACCAGAGATGGAGTGAACATCAATCCCAATCAAGCCTAAAATTAAATTGAGGGCTGAAGCTTTGGCTTTATTTTTGTCAGCAAGAAGTTGTTGGAAGCTGTTCTGTCTCCTGGATTGTGTTCAGATCAGTGCTGGAACACAGCCTGCATCCATCTCTTAAACCAAATGAAGTATTTTTAGACTTTCCAGGATGAAATATTAGGAGACAGAGAACAGGGAGCTAGAATCGGATCTGAAATTTCACTTTGAAAAAAGATGCCAAGAAGCCAACACTACGTATGGCGATATCAAACGCTCAGAACTGGCCACTGCTATTGCACAAAGTGTAAGCCATGCTATCACAAAGCCTGCCAGAACAACTCAGGTTCCATATAGGAAGCTTTGTTTGTAGGTAGGCTTCAGGCTGACCACAGCTGGCTCCGAGAGGATGAGGACAGCCTGCTTGTGTGCCCAGCCCCATGCACAAGCTCCCTATAAAGTATTTCCACCTTTGAAGGTGCAAACCTTGAGTAAGGTGGAGAACAGGCACCTGATACATATGACACCATCTCAGTCAGGCTCTTTGTTACTTACTACTGCTCTTGTTGTTGGTAGACTGACACTTGACCGCTTTGCTCCTTTTCAGATGTTGTCGGCTTCTGTGGGTTTTCAGCCTCCTCTGTTTTATTTTTGCCATCCCAGGGGTAACTCTGAGAGGAAAATGGGGTACTGGAGGCAGCAGCTCCCCTGTACCTGCTGTCTTCCTTCCATCCTCCAAGCCCAGACATAGCACGGGGGGTACCTTGCCTTGTCAGGGAGGAGTATTGCAGATAAGGCTAAGGAAAGACTCAAAACTTCGAGTTCTAGCAATTTAGTTTCAATTCCCTGTAAGGCCCGCCCCTGGCTAGACTCTCAGCTGTAAAACATGCAAATCCACGCACTGTTTTCTGAGTCATCCTCCAGCTGAAGGTCAGATCGTCATCTCACCCACAGCACCCAAGCAGCCTGGAGTCATGGGGTGACAGCAAATACGAATAAAGCAGTCAACAGCAGTTAGTGCAGTCTTGGAGCAGACTGCTTTGGCATAAGCACAGTGAGGTCTGTCTGAAAGCCATATTTATGATAAATTTTTTACCCCAGCACTTCAAATTTTCCTATGAGAGAAGGGAATAACTCTGGGGGGTTTGCTGGTTTCTGTTTTGCAGGAGTGTATAAGGAAAGATGAAAGTGAAACTAAAAACTAATGTGCAGATATAGTCCTAAGGCAACGGTCCTGCACAACTCCAATTCTGCATTTCAGTTCTGCTCATCTGCTTTATTTTGACTTTTCTGATTCTACCTGATGAACAGACGACACGTACAAGACCTGAAGTGAAAACACCGATACCTTCGGTGAACATATCTGACCAGTGGCACTGTATCTATCAGATAAGGTACGGTGGTGTCTGCAGGGCTGGGGAAAACTAGCAACCTTCTTAGTATCACTAGTAAAATAAAGATGTTTGGCAGCTCCTAACCCAATAAAAAAAGAACTAGTAATGCTATGCAAGCTTTATGCAAGCAGAGATAGGGAAATTCAGCTCCACACACGCAGATTCTGTCACTTTTTGTCCTCAGCTGCTCAAGGTGCACTAAAACCACATTGCTGAGGGGATGCTTCTGTGGCCAGGTTTCCTGACTCTCCACACTGTCTAGGTCTTACAGCACACCTCACATATGCTGGGAAAGCATCAAGATAAAATGCCACGTGGAGAGCCATAGGCTGCCTGGTATTTGTGATGCTCTTTGGGGTGCTGTATGGGACCCCTTCACCAGCAGCACACCTCCCAGCGCTGCTACATCCAGCAGCACATATCTCCTAGGGCTGCATGATGAAGGCAGCATCAATGGTCTCTCCCTCCTGATGTCCTTCCTAACATGCTCTGCAGCTGAGATGATCTTCATTTGTACACGAATCATTCTGCAGAGACTGTGGAGAGCAATGGCTGTGTGTTGCAAAGGGACGAGCTGGTGTATAGTCCCTTGCACCCCTCCCAGAGCTGTCTCACTTCTGGGCCATGATGGGTTTAGCCTGGTCTATGAACAGGCAGAAACACTGTGAGAGAGTCCAGTATGGTCACTCCTTGGAGACAGATAGCAAAAGCCACCCAGAGGCCCCTTCCCTACCTTCTGCCAAACCCTGATCTCTCTAATCCCAACCTCTCTGGAGATAATGATGCAACATGCATTGAGACATATGCAGAAGCCATCCCAGGTTGGCAGCAGTCTGTCTTTTTTGTTTCTTAGGAGAAGAATTGGTCTGTGGGATGTTTTCTAGGGAGCTGGCTCAGCTGAAGGGGGATGGATGCCAATTGTGTTTTAGCTGCCTGTGCCATTAATCATAGCACTTACTCACAAAGCCCCTGTCTTGGTTTGGCAACTGCCCAGGATGCCAGAGCAGGCTACAGCCCTCTTTGCCCCATGTCGTTCAAAGCCACAAGCTGTAGGCAAAGAAATACATCTAGTCTGTAACACATTGCTGCACCATAGCTCCAAGGCAGCTCTTGATGTTGCCAACAGCCCACATAGGCAGTATCTTGTTTCCAAGTGCTCCAGGTTGGTCTGGGGAAGAGTATCTCCTCTGCCTGATGTTGTCAGAAACTTCTAAAAGAGCAAAAGGCCTCACAGCCCTGGAGTGGATACAGGGGTTTATTCTTTACCTCTGGTCTCTATGGAGAACATGGACATTTTGTCCTGAATACTGATCAAAAAAGAGGAATGTAAAATGAACCCAAACACTAGAAGGTCAATCATGTACATCACTTCAATGCTAGTTTATTTCTTTGCTCTGTTTTGGACAATCCAAACTAACTCCCTCCAGGACAACATCCAGGCCTGGCTTTGAGCGTGGTTCATGCCAGATGTGACCTCTAGAAAGTCAATATGGATACAACTGCACCAGGTTTAGTTTCCTGCACACTAAACAGCCTTCCAACAGTGTCCCAGCAATCTGCATCTCAAGCACATCCAATGTAACTCTGTGTCATACTGCATAGAACGTCATTCATCAGCCCTTTAGCTTCATGCTACTAAAATGCAACTTTTGATGGGCTGCAACACATCCTTCATGCTGCTTCAGACACATTGAGCTCAAATATCCCCTAAAATAACAGTTAAGTATTAGGGTGACAGCAATGCCACCTGGGGCTCTCAGGACACTTGGAGCTCAAGTGCTATGTAGTAAGGACATGCATATTGCCTCCAGAAGGCTCCTCCTAGCCCCTCGGGCTCCTCCTAGCCTAGTGGGGGCTAGCCTTAGACAGCACAGATACAAGCAAGTCTGTGCTAGCTGGATTTAGGACAAAGGATCAGTTTCTGGCCCCATTTTATTTCACACTGTAGATGCTAAATAGATGCTAAAGAGTCTGTGCTTCCTAAGTATCAGAATGCCAGTGTATTCAGCCTCCTGAAACATGCAAAAGCCCAACAATTCTAAATGCTTCTCAAGACCTCTGTAAGAATTTTAACTCAGTACTTATATTTTTCTAGACCCACCAAATATTGGCTGCCTATTCTATCTGATGGTTTGTGCAGTTGTCTTACATCCATCCCTAACTGGGTCCGATGCTGTGCTGCATTGGCTCCTGCTAGCAGGCAAAGCAAACATAGAGCTGGTGGCTCCCTCCCTCCCCACTAGTGGGACAGGGGAGAAAACAGGAAAAGGAGTGAGAGAATTTATCTGTCAAAATAAAGCTTTTTTGTCTGTAAAGCTCTGTTGACTCTAGCTAGTATCAACTTTTTTTAATTATGTGAGAGGAAAATCCTTGATAGAAAATGATTTTTCTTTTACATTAAGAAAATACTTCAATGGACAGGTAAAATATTAAGAATCATTATATGCCCTCCCCGACCTGTGTTTTTTTACAATACAATACAATTACAATAATATAACAAAATAACTTCTGCAAAGGAACGTTCTATATTGAACCTTTATTTCCAACTCAGCAGCACCACAAACTATACCAAAAATGAGAGATACCAGAGATCTTTTCTCACCACAAAGGATACTCAGAATGTTGGTCAGCCACCTCATCCTTTCTTTGGGAATGTCAGATCAGATAAAGCTCTTCTACAAAATAAGTCACAGAATCACAGAATGGTTGAGGTTGGAAGGGACCTCTGAAGGTCATCTAGTCCAACCACCCTGCTCAAGCAGGGACTCCTAGAGCACATGAACCAGGATTTTGTCCAGTCAGTTTTTTAATATCTCCAGAGAGGGAGATTCCACAACCTCTCTGGGCAAAACAGTATTAAAAAAAAAAAAAAAAGTATTTTAAACAATGCCATGTCCCCTTCCTCTCCTTCCCTGAAAACATCTGTTCATTCTTCATTATTTCACTGTTGGTTTATGGATTTTAAGGTTTTGAATTTTTAATTTTTTTCCATAACCACAGACACTTTTCATTAAAAGCTAAGACTTTCTTTTAATCCAAGGAGACTAGAAGCCTTAAGCCTAAAGAAAAGCATCAAGCTACAAGAGACTTTTGAGAAAGACAGCCAGGACAGGCTAGATTTCCTAGAGCCCACTCTCTGTTTTTCCCAGGAGCCAGCAAATGGTGTCAGAAGACCCTGACTGCTGGAGAACTGCTTTTTCCTTTGCCGTCAGCTAAAATGCTTAGTCCTACAGCTGAGTATGATGCTCAAGGGCTCACATACATAGTTTTTTCCCTGGATATTTTGCCGAAGTAGGTAAGACACACAGCTCAATACACTACAGAGCACACATGTAATTGATCATTGGGAACATCTATCATTGGGAACATCTCCCTATGTTTTAGGGCAATGACAACAGAGAGAAAATACACCTAGAAGCTCATCTATTATTAGCACTGCATACTCTGTTTTTATACCTTGCTAGCAAATTTAAAATTGGTTTTTAAAGATGCATTTTACTTTATCAAGGTTTTTCTGGCTGAGTAGTCTAGCTTGCTGTACAATTAGTTGTGAATGGAAGACTTTAAACTGTACAACACAGTAATGTTCAGCTCTACTTTTAAAACACTTGATCTGAAACATGCTTATGGCAAGCAAAATAATTGAGCTAACCATAGACCAAAGCCAAAACCAAAACTGTAGTATCGCTTTTAGTTTTGTGCACTTCACATTAAATGTTTTGTTAGGAGCAAGACTGCTCTGTTGTGAGGACAGTGCGTTCTGCAGGGTTGATAGCACTAATTGTTACAGTTCAGGATGCTGAAGAAAATAAATTTCCCTGCTCCCCAGAGAGGTAGCCCCAGAAGGAGGGTGAAATGTCAACATTTGGCCAAGATTTATTCTTGTTTAGATTTAGGACTGGAATTTGTCAGGCTCAGCAGAAAGAATGCCATTAGCTTTGACAAGTGCGTGTGTGTGTCTGTGTTGGGTAATCTATTTAGGAGATGTAAAATGCCGCACACACTTCCCATTTTATTGCAAAAAGCTGAAATTGACGGTACCTGTCAACAACTATCATCTACCACTCTCTGAAATAAAATTGACCTTTGCTTTCTCTGCAGTATCCTTCCTTTAGCTAATACTTCAGTAAAAGAAAGTGGAGATTGAAAATATAATTGACCTGCTGTCCAGAACTTGCTATATTGAGGTCCTGAAGTAGTGCCTGAAAATTATTGCTACATTTTAGTAGTATTCTTATGTCTGGAGAGTGCTATGAATATATATATATTGCTATACTGTGGGACAGGATTTGGATGGTCTCAGCAAAACTCCTAGCACTGCTAAATTTTCATAAGGGCTACTAATGACAAGACAA